AGTACCATTTCACATCAATTTGACTAGCAAAAATGATAAACTTTGACAATACTAAATATCAGCAAGGATGCTGGGCGACGGGAACTGCTCCACTCTGCAAGAGTGATATATATCCATACAACCTGCCTTCATCCCTACATACATACTCCATGGAAATTCTCCCGTATATGCACAAGGAAATAATATACAAGATACGCTTCTTTTCAAATTATTTGTAATAGCAAGCAAATTGCAAACAACCTAAAAGCCTATCATTAGGAGTCTGAATAAATACACTGCAGCATATTTATCAATAGACTACTACACAGCACTAAAAATGAATGAACCAGAATTCATGAATGAACCTCAGAAATCCAAGTGAATAAAGCAAATTTTAAACAGATCATATATTGTGAAACATTTACATAGAGTTTGAAAACAAGCAAATAGTGGCCAATATGTATAGACATATCTGATTATAAGGTAATCATATAAAAACATGCATGGGTGTTCCAAAAATCAAACGTAGCATAGTGGTCACCTCTGAGGCAGCAAAGAAGTGAATGGCCTCCAGGAGGGGTTCAACTGTACCTGTAAAAATTTATTTCTTTAAAAATTCTGAAATCTGGAAAACATTAGGCTTTGATAGACTTGGGTGGTGGCCATATGTGATTCATTGTGTTATTTGCTGAAATGGTCTATATTTTAAAAATATTTCATAATTTCACGTTTGGAAGCGGTAGAGCTGAGCTTGAATTCTGATTCTACCTCCTAACTGAGCAGCGACCTCACATCTCTGGGTCTCGGCTTCCTCTTCTTTGAAACGGGGAGAATAACAGTTTGTTGTAAGGATCAAATAAGCGAATGTACTCAGCACCCTGAGCACCGCGCCCGGCCATCGTGGGTGCCCACCGATGAGAGATGTTGCATTCCTGCTGTCTGATGTATCTTACACCGTGCCTTGAATGGAGCATATTTTGGCTGGAAAGAGCAAGGGGGTGACCAAATCACTCCAGTGAAAGGCCAGCAACGTGGGAGGAAGAGGTCTCTCTGGAGATCCCCAGGGTCAGGTTTTCACTCGGACACCTCAGCAGCCACTGCGGCTGTTCAGGGAAGCCCCACTGCAGTCATCATGACAGTCCAGCTTTGAACCCCAGGCTCCACAAGGTAACCAGGAGTTGTCCCTCTAGTCTTGCTTCTCCCTTGTATCAGTTATTATTGCCATGATAATGCCACATAACAAATCATCCCAAAACTTAGTAGTTTACAACAATAAGTATTGACAACAGCCTGTTGTTCTGGACCAGGGCTGGCTTTTGTGGCTGGGCTCGCCCATACATCCATGGTCAGCTGGCAGGTTGGCTGGGGGCTCTCTGGTGTAGGATGGCCTTGCTCACGTGTCTGGAGCGTGGATGGCTGTCAAGTGGGGTGACAGGCAAGATGGGTTGCATGTCTTTCCTCATCCAATAGCCCAGGCCAGGCTTGTCTACATGGCACCTAGGCTGAGTTTCAAGAGAAGGAAGAGAAGCTGCAAGTCCTCTTGAGGGCTAGGTTCATTATTTTCACTGCATTCTTTTGGCCAAAGCAAGTCGTAAAACCAGCTAGACTCAAGGGAGGGGGAAATACGTTTCATCTCTTTGTGGGAGGAGCAAGGAAATCACACTGCTGAGGACATGGACCCAGGAGAGTGATGGATCGGGGCCATTTGAGCAAGGCAACACACCGATGACTCCAGTCACCTGCCTCTTACTGACCCTCATTAGAAGGAGGCCCATCCAGCAGCAGATATTTGTCCCTTACCCCCTACAGCTGTTGTCTTCTGACAGACTTGTGTTTTATTCTAGAGGCTAGAGGGAGCTACCGCACGTTCTTAAGAAAGTTAAGTGACCAGATAAAAATGGAGTTGGAAAAAGATTTTCCTCACCTTCAGGGGAGTAAGCACATTTGCCTGAGACAATCAGGGAGGCAGGGGAGAGGGGAAGGCATCTCAGGCGGTGGGAACAGGGCCTACAGAGGCCCTGGGGTGTGGAAAGACTTGGTGGCATGAACAATTATAGGAAGCCCCCACTCATTGCTTATAATTAATTAGTGTCGCCTAATTTAGCAATGAAATGTTTCTTCCCAAATGTTCCTCCAGAGAGCCCAGGACATTGATCTCCCCACTTACAGGCCAAAATTAAGGCTATGGAAGCATTCAGTGTCTTTAATTTGCTCAAGCTGGTCCACACGCATTTGTCCTCCAGGCTTCAGCAAGGAATTTCAGAGCAGAGACAAGTTTATCACAGTGTGGAGGGTCGTGGATGGGTCAGTAATGGAGTGTTGGTCTCAGACCCGGCCGAGCCACCTTCCCACTGTGCGCCTTCAGGCCAGCGCCTCTGAGACTCAGCTTTGACATCCGTGAAATGGAGCAATACCTCCTCACAGCCCTCCTGTGAGGATGAAAGGGGGTGAGGCAAGAAAAGCACGAGTGCAGTAGCTGGTAATGAAAATGTGCCCAGGAAGTGGCACGTGGCTGTCGGTCCTCCTAGTTCCTCAGTTGCCTAGAGCAGGGCCCCACACGTGACACAGCCTTCATGAGCACATCTGTGTTCTTCACAGATGTCAGTGGAAGCGCTGACTATTCCAGGCAAGGCCTAATTGCACACTTCAAGTCTCGGAAAGGAGCTCTCGACAGGGCTTGTTATTAAATAATAAGGAAATTAGTGCTCAGTCGAATTAGACGTGGCATTGATTTTTAAACTTTTATTCAAGTATTCATTTGTTTGGCATGAAACAAAGAGCAAGCAAGCAAGCCAAATTTAATCAGTATCCATTAAAGTTCCATTTTAAATATATATGTCCATATATTCAAACTATCTATGTACTTTACATATGGCATGTATTTTATATATGTATTTAAATATATAATATATGGATGTATATATAATGTATAAGTATATATTACATATAAACAAGTATATAACTACATACTTATATATATTTAAAGTATATATATGAATCAAGATAAAGGATGTATATATTTCATTTTATATAGACGTATATACACACACACACGTGCATGCTTCCATGCTGTTCAGAATTTTGCTTACCATCTTCCTCACCATTTGGAATAGGAAGGGAGCGTGAAAGCCGCGTTGGTGACAGACTCTCACCCCATGTGAAACCATAGCTAAGCACCTTCTCCAAAGTCTCAAATGCGACTTACAGAAAACTTAAAGACAAGCAGATGGAGGTTGGCTCAGGCCTGTAAGTTTTCACAGATCTTTCACCAGGGGGCCAACGTCTGCAGTAACTACGAGGTTTACTTGGGCACTATGTATAGACGTCATTCTTGTTCCAAAGGGAATTTGCATCCCATGATATATATAGCCTTTATGGAAACAGGATTTACTTTTGCTCACAAAGACGAAGAAAATGTGTGTGTGTGTGTATTTTTTCCATCCTTGGATGTGATTTTTAAGGGCTCATATGCAGTAGCTTTGCTCACCCCAAGAGGATGTCACAAAGAGTACACCAGTCAACAGTGCAGAAATCAAGACTTCCCAGGGCCGTGCAGCCAGTGAGCTCCTTCCCCCACATTTCCAGCCATCGCCCCCTGGCCCTGCAGCAGGCGGTGCTCCCACTGTTGCAGCAGACTTGGTAATGTGACCCATTTAATCCCTTAGCTGCTCCACAGACCATTAAAATGGATTAAATGGACTTTTCAGGGTTGGGGCCAGGAAATTCAGATAACTTGTACCATTGGAATCTTCCACATCTTGAATGCTGTTTGGGGTTAAAACACCGCATTCTGATTGACTTAGGGCTTATGCTTTTTTCTGTTCCCTATTGCCGCTTAACAAACTACCCCAAAACTTAGCGCCTTAAAAAAGAGCAAACACTCATTTGCTCACAATCCTGTAACGTGGGCAGGAACAGCCTGTCTCTCTCCACGAACTGCTGACTGCGGTGAGCTGACCGGGGCCAGAGGGTGAAGGCGGCTCCCCTCACACGTCAGGTATCTCATCGGAGGCGCTGGAGCAAAAGAGGTTGCTGGGCCTCCCTCTCTCCACGTGGTCTGGTCCACTAGTCGGCCAGCCCAAGATCGTATACACGGTACCTGGCATCAGGGGATGGACGCGGAAGCTGCCAACCCTTTTAAGAAGTGGCACTTCATCCTTCCACTGCATTCTATAGATCAAAGCAAGTCACCAGCCCAGCCCAGCTTGAGGCGAGGGGCAACGCACACAGGAGGGAAAGAACTGTTTGGAACCCCTGGGTATAAAGGAAGAAAGAGCAAGCAAAAGGGAGAAAATTAATGGAATTATGGTGTCTGTTGCAGAGAACATTCTAGAACACGAGCCCAGAGAAGGCCTTGCGCAGAATTACAAGGTCAGGCAAACCTGGGAAAGATTATCTAATGAATGCCCACTGATCTTAACCTGGTCAGGCTCCAGGGTTCTGTGGACCCCTTGAAACTGTATGCAAGATGTTGCCAATGTGTGCTTTTTTATTCCTGGAGGAAGGTGGGAGTCCACAGCACTCACTGTGTCCTCAAAGGAGGCTATGATCCGAAAAAGGAAGTAGCCATTGTCCTGTAACTGGCAGGCAGCATTACACCCCCGGGGACGGAACCAGCCTTGAAATTTAGCGCCAGCCCACAGTTCTAGTGTTCCCAAAACGCCAAAGCTGTTCCACCCAGCACAAGTCTGTCTTACTTTGTGTTTCTTTTTCACTGGAAACCTGTAAGTGTGTTTCTGCAAGAAGATACTTCAAATTTTAAAGTAAAGATCAAATTTCAAAGTTGAAAATGTTCTGAGAAGCCTCTTTAGGGTAGAAACGAGCCAAGGTCAAGAAGGCAGCTGGGAGGGGGGAGGGGGATGAAAGAAGATACACAGATGGAAAATGAGATGGGCCATGCGCTGGCTCCAGGCCAACTGCCATTGAAGAGACCCAAACTGCTTCCAGTTGATAAGATTTAAGGAACCTCCGTGGAAGTCTTTTGATTGCTGTATCTAACTTGTCTTTAATTTTCTCCACAGCCACGGGACCCGCTGTGCAGGGGAAGTTTCTGCCGCTGCCAACAACAATATCTGTGGGGTCGGAGTAGCATACAATTCCAAGGTCGCAGGTAAGCTGTCCCTGCCAAGCAGCAAGTGCCATGCTGGGCAGTCCGGGCCCCAGAAGGCATCACTCTCTGGTCTCCGGGTTGGCCAGGGTCCGGCAAAAATTCCCACTGGGGCAGAAGATCTGGGAGTCGTAGATTTAGCAAGAGTGAAAAAATTGTTTTATTTTAATCTATATGGCAATATTAATAAACTTTTACATTTTTTATTTGTGTAATATAAATACAGAAAAGTGCACAGGTCACAAGCACCCAGCTCAATGAATTTGCACAAACTGGCCATACCCACGTAACCATCAAGAAATGGAACAGGACCAGCCCCCAAAGCCCACAGCCTGTCCCCTCCCAGTGACCAGCACACCCAAGAACAACCACGATGCTGAGTTCTAGCAGCAAGCGATGGTTACTGCCAGTTTTTCAACTTTATATAAATGGAATTGTACACTCTGTACTCTTTCGTGTCAATATTGATATTGACACGAAAGAGTACATAATGTTTTAATGAAACTCAAAGACTATAGAATATAAGGAGACGTGTACAAATTATTGTAAACATACTCAGAACTCTTCAAAATGTTTCTGGGGGTTTTTGCATAACGCATCTCTTCTTTGAGGAAATATATTCTACCTAGAGCCTTTTTATTAAGTTCCACAAGACAGACATTTAACAATTTCATCTTTACAGGGGGCTTTAGAAATGAGGGTGGTGGGTCACTAGAAAGTTAGAAATCAACACCTCCCCTTGAAAGAGAGAGAGAGAGAGAGAATGAGAGGAGGCTCATAAGCTTTCAACGAGATGAGTGGATCCGGGCTCATTCCAAGTTTTACATCAAATTGGTTCTTAATTTATTCAGGCTGAGTCACCAACCTTGTTTTTCTTTTTTTTTTTTACAACTGTCTCGATATTTTTTCCTGGCGATTTAAGGGAACCATAAACATGCTTGGTGCTGACACTGCATTTCCAGGGACCTAAATAAAGCAAGAGCAGCCTACACAAACTGGCCAGTAACCTCCTTCAACACTATTTGCTAAGAGGCTTGCCTGAGCTGGGTACTGACTTTCCCAAAAGAACACATCTGGAAGGTTCTGAAATGTAAATAGCGGAGGCTTTGCCACTCGGGTTTCAGTTATCTTTACTTCGTGTGCATCCAAAATGCTGGGGCATTAAAATGTCAGAAGCCTTTGTGAGCTCATGGAAAAGACCACCACCCAGTTAATACTTTATAAGCCAGGCTCGTACTCTGGGTGGTGTCTGAGGCCAGGCAGGTTCCCTATTCGCAGGACACAACTGGGAGCAAGTGAAAAATCCAAACCTGGATTTCTCATTCACAGTGATTGTCTTCAGAATAGTCTCGAAGCCTCCGTGCGTCCAAAGTCACTGGCTTTTTGAACAAGGGCTTCTGAGAACCACTGCCTGCAAAAATGAAGAGTTAGGAGCACTCAGGGGCTTCACTGCGGTCTCTTTCTCCATCTACTTCTTTTATCTTTTCCTCTCTTATTATTTGTATTCTGAAAACACCTGAGCTGCTCGTCAAATGTACTTAATTCTCCTCCTTTCTTCATTTGAATTTCCTAAAGGTGAAACTTGAGACAAGGATTTGGGTGCAAGGAGTAGATTTGGGGGGTGATCCCAGAAGCCGGAGTGAGGGAAACAGGAAAAAAGATAGCGAAGCAGGGGAAGCCACGTAGGGTGTGTAGACGAGCTGGCTGCCCTCACGGACAACTGGGGCTCTGAGGGACCATGAGGACACCCCCCAGAATTGCCCCCCAAGGCAAGGAGTCCAGGGAATTTATCCACCAACTCTCAGCCCTCATTGCTCAGGGGAGGCTCCTGGGCCATGAGCACCCTGGCCTGTCCGGCCTGCCCAGCTCACACAGGCTGAGCAGAACTCCTGAGGCAGAGAAGGCACCCCAGGCAAAGACACTTGGACAGAGCCAGAGGATCTGGGCAGGTATGACAACCTCTGCCTCAGCGGACCCTGATCCCAAAGGAGAGTGAACGCAGCCTGATACCTCACAGATGCGACCTGATGGAGCTTTGTGGAACCCCGGGAGCTCAGGTCTCACAGCAGTGTTCTGAAGTCCCAGAAACTGAGACCAGAGCTGGTGGGAGGTACGCCCAGCCCCACAAAGATTTGAGCAAAGAAGCCTCGTTTCTCCACTGCCTTCACCCCGGCTTTGCTCCTCTGTCACCACTCATGCTGGTTCTGACGGCACAAGGGCCGGGAAGCTCTAGTCACCATCCTGGCCCCTCAGTACGTCCAGAGTCCTCTGGACTCCCCCAGAGGAGTGAAAGGAATTCTCCATGAGGAAGCCCTGGAGAGTTACTTAAGAATCGCAACAAAAGCAGAATTTCAGCCTCCTTGACCTAACAAATTTAAGGGGAACATTTTGTTCATTCTGGCTGGAAATTCCAAAAGTCCGCTGGTTTTTATTATTCTGAATGAGCCCTACTCTTCCATGCAATCTTTCCTCTCAGGAGCTTTCTGAGCCAGGGAAGTCTAACGTGCCACCTGCTGGCCAACCCATGTCACTGCTAGTCTCCGGCACTCAAGGTATTCAGTTAACAGATGAGGGAGGCGTTGGCAGCGAGGTCCCAAATCTCTCCTAGGTCCCAGGTCTCTCTTCACCCTGTCTTCAGAAATAGGGTAAAGTTAAGGTGCTGTAGAATCGTAGTCCAGAAAGAGAAGGGAAAGTGGAGATGAGATTGCAAAATGAGTCCTCTGAAGGGAAAAAAGGAAAAACTCGTTGAGCATTTCTTCATCTGCCCAGTAGCCTGTTGGGATTCTCTTCTATTCAAGAACTTTGCTCATTTTCCCATTGGGCTTCTTGTATTTTTCTTGTTGATTTGCAGGCATTCTTGGTATGTCCTCAGTATTAGCCCATGGCCCGTTTTAGTCGGTGCAAATACATTCTCCCAAACTTTCACGTGAGGTCATTAGTCCATCTGGATTCCACCTTTGTAGGTCATGCCAGGTGGGGATCCAGTTTTACTCTTCTCCAAATAGTGAGCTGATGTTCCCAATACCATCCATTCAAGAATTCATCCTGTCCCTTTGATTCATGGTGCCATCTTTATTGTATATTAAGTTCCAGTACATACACGGTTAGTCTCCAAGTAAATATAATTTAGATAAAACCTCCTAGCAAGTAGAAACTGAAAAGTGTAACCACACTCCTTTACTACTGGGCCTTTGTATATGCTCTTCCCTCTGCCCAGAAGACCTCCCACCACGCTTTAAGAAGAGGCCGCCTCCTCTTCATCCTTCAGCAATCAGGTCTCCCATTGCTTCCTCCAGCATCACCTCCATGACCAGTTCCTCATCTACACTTGATAAAGCGCACCGAGTTTTTCCTTCTCAGCACTCACTACTGTCAGTTATTACATATTCTTGCACATGGTTATTTGACCAATACCTTTCTCTCTTATCTCTCATCTTTCCAGTTATCTATCAAAATCTCCAAATCTTGAGACCCAAAGGGGCTCTAAAGGTCCTCTAGTCCAAACACCCACTGATACTTGCAGAATAACAATAATAGTAATAATAATAATAATTGACATCTATTGTCTCTTCCAAAGCATCAGGCACGATGCAAAACGCTTTACTCACTCAACCCTCTTTACAACCCTATCAGACATTATTGCATATTTTATATATATTATATATATATTATATATTATTACAGAGAGCAAACTGAACGTGGGGCCACACAGCTAGGCAGCTGTAGGACAATTTTGCACCCAGCACAGGTTGGCCCAGAACTTCCACTCTTGGCCCCTGCCCTCAAATGCTTGAGCAACTTCTCTTTTCCCCTGTCCTGGTATGGCCTGGATCCAGCCTGGAAGTGCACGCCTCCAGTGACAGGAAGCTCGCTCCCTGCCGACAAAGTCTGAGCTGCCTTTGGACACATGTGGCTGTTAGGAACTTCCCCCTTAGACAGCTGTCCCTTTGATGCTGCTGCCCCTTTTCATGGACACAGTTGTCACCACCTCTTCTAGGTAACTGGGGGAAACTCCCATTCGGCTGCCTCCTGAAGAGTCAATGCTCTGTAACATGTAGATGCATCCACACGCCATGTCCCAAACATCTGAATGCTGTGTGGAAGCTGTAATAACTTCAAAAACAATTATTTGCAAGTTTAATTAGTTAGATTTCCTTATCTACTTATTTAGCTCTATAAATTTTGAAAAAAAGATTAATTTCAATTTTTTGATTTTGAAAATGTCTTTCTTCAAGTAACTTTAAAAAGATAACCTAATCCTTTTCTTAATATTAATTTTTAAATCACTGTTTGACATCTTCAATCAAAGAGATTGAGACAAAAAATTAAAATTGAAAATGTGGTAGTAGTAATTGAAAATTCGCAAAACCAAATAAATGCCCAATAAATATAAATAACGAACCCTTCAAATAATGTTTCTTGCAAGTTTGTCAAATTTAAACTTCTGGGATTATTAAAGCTCAAAACTGCTCCAAGCCTTTCAGGAGATGCTGTCTCCTGCCTTTGGTCCCTCCGAGGACTCAACGATTACTCATGGTGCCTACTGTGTTTCCAGTCCTGTGGGTGGTAGACACAGCAGTGAGTCAGCAGACAAGACACCTACCCTCACACAGCTTACAGTCTAAGAGGAGACACAGACAAGGAGCGAATAAGCAAGATAATATCAAATAATGATCGCTGGTGTGAACAGAACAAAGCAAGGTGGCACAGAATAACGGAGTGGGGACACAGCAAGTGACTTGAGAGCGCCTCAGAGCAACCCCAGGGTGGGCCAGGCCAGGTAGGATGGGCCTTACCCGCCTTCCTTTTTAAGTCAGGACATACAGCCTTATGCACTGGGCCTTGAGATGAGCTCTCCTTTGATCAAAGATTCTGAAAACAGTTTGAGAACCACACTGTTGACCATTATCAAAACACTGAAATTTCTCTACCAGCAATGAATTGCTTCCACATATTTGGCCAATAAAAGTCAAAATATTTCAGCGAGTTTACACATATTTCATCTGAGTTTGTAAATAACCAATAAAAATCTCCTATTAGCACAGCAATTAACATGTCTTTAGATCCTTAAGACCGAGATCAGCATGAATTCGCTCCTTAGCCTGCAGATTGATATTCACGAGCACGAAAAGGTGGTGATTAGCAACACTGAGGTTTGTGGGCTGCTGTAGCATTTCCCGGCATCGGTGCAAGCTCACCTTTTGTAACAGAAGCAGAAGCAGAAAGAATTTAGCTCAAATCCAGGGCCGTGTAGCCCCTAGAGCCCAGGGCCGGTGCAGTGAGAGCTGTGCAGGCAGGAGGTGAGGCTCAGACCCTAAAAAGAGGGGAGTCACAGCGTTACCGCGGTCATTGAGGTGGTGATCAGGCCTGCAGGGCGGGGGCTAGAAATGCCTGATGAGCACTGTGTGTCTTCTTGCCATTGAATCTCATCAGCCCATGGAGGACTTTACAAACGTGAAGACACTGAGTCCTGCCGCCTTTGTCTTCCCTCTCCCTCTGCCTCTTGCTCTCATTCTCTTGCCTCACCCTCATTCCCTCTCTCTCTCTCTCTCTCTCTCTCTCTCCCTCAGCGCCCCCCTGTAGCTCCTAGAGCATTTAGGGACAGAGGAAAGGCCCTCCCTAAAAACCCTCAGGTCACCCTGAGCCTCTGTCTTGGCTGCTAATGGTGCAGTCGCTTGCAAAAATTAATGCTATATCGCATTCAATTAATGCATGCCTCATTCGTCCTGAGTTTAACGAGATTAAAAGGATGTCCGGGCGCCTGAATATGAATAGGAGGCTTGCTCCCAGTCTGTGGCTGCCCCTGCCTCCCTAGACGCTGAAACAGAGGATTAACACACACCCGGTCTGATGTTCTGTGCAACACAAAGGGAGCCAGGGAAGGGATGAAGAGGGAAAGAGGCAAAGCGACAAGAGCTGCAAAGAAAGAGGGTACAGGGCACGGCTGGAAGCACCACGCACTGGCTGTATGACAAAATCCAGTGTGGCCACTGGTTGGCATGTGTGACAGTCCAGGCCTACTTTTGCCAGAGTTGAATTTCTCTCGTCTTCCAGTTGGAGTGGACTGTTCAGCCCTGGTCACCTGGGCACTAGATGAGTTCGAGACCATCTGAGTTTTCTCCTTGCAGGAAAGTGAACACCAGCCTCTCTGCAATGTTTCCCCACCCACAAAGCGGGCAGGACTTCTTCCAGAAAGAAACTGCGCTATTCTGCTTCTTCTTTGACCTGTTGGCCACCTTCCTTTGTGAACACATTTTTTAAATAAATGAAATATAGTTGGACCAAAAGCAAAATGTAGAGTTTTAGATTTCCTGTCCCTTGTGAAATGAACCATCAGACTCAGCTTCCAGAAGGTTCAAACCAAAGACTGTGCTTATTCCTGATGAGCTTCCTCCAGGAGAATGGATGTTAACTGATAATTGGATATTTCTTGGTAAAAGCGGTGCCTCGACTTAGAGGTTAATGGTAGAGGACAGAAAATTTGAACTGGTTCTTATTTGTTCTTCAGGCCTTGTCATTTCTGTTAGGGAGAAAATCAACAAAATAAAGTAATATTACCATGCATTTATTCACCAAATATTTATCAAGCTTAAGCTAAATTCCAAGCACCATGCTGAAGCCTGGGGACACAGAAGTGAACAAAGTAGACACATACCCTGTACGCAAAGACGAAGCTGTCTGGTGGTGAATGAAGGACACAAATAAACAATTGTAGCGGATGACTGAGAAGCCTGGTGCTGACAGAAGACCTGGAGAGCTGCGTGCAGAAAGACTTCTGGGGAAATGCTTGCTGAACGCATAGGTCAGTTAGGAGACGGGCAAGCCCTAGGGGAGGTTGCAATGCCGGCACAAGCGGTGGGCTATGAGATGCTGGGGAGGAAAGAGACTCTTCAGAGAAAAGACAATTTCATGTCAGTTTCACGCGCTCTGCAAGAACCTGAGTTGTCCTTATTGAAATTGATTTGCACACGATGTTAAGAGAGTGATGCTTGTGTAACAATGTCCTTTGACCATGGGGGACACGTAAGGAGTGTCAGGATCCGGGCTTTGACTGTGTTCAGCCTAGCTCCTTCATTTCAAAATTCCTGCGGGCAGAAAGACTTAGGTCAGCTTCACAAACACTTTAGGCTCCTTGCCACAAAATAGTGTATCAAGCAGAAGACAATATGGCCCCAGAAAGCGATGTTTTGAGGGTAGTGATGGAGGGACAAATATCCATCCCATTGGTTGCCCCTGAGTTAACGCTGGAGAGGCTTTTTCTGGATAGCAGAGAGTGAGTGCCCCTTCTCCCTGTGTCCCTGTACACAAACTTTACAAAGGTGACACAGGGAGAAAGACGAAGGGGTTGTTTCACGTACCCCATGACTAATATATTTTAGAATGACCCAGTCAACATTTCTGTCCTCCCAAATCCCCTTCTCAGTTATAATGCAACTGGGAGTTCCTCTTTTCCTGACCCTCCCGCCTTGACTGTCCCTGCCCCTCCTTCTGCCCTCTGCCCTCTAGGTTTTCTCCTTAAATATCTAATATCAATTGCCTTCCCCCACGGTCATGCACAGTAGCTTTATTTCTCCTCTGAAATTTGGTCTTGGAGGCTGAGCTTCCACTTAGAAACAGGCTTATCAAGAAACATCTTCAACAAAGCTGATTTTTCCCCATTAGGAATTCTAGTAACATTTGATACGGGAATAAAGTTTTCTTGAAATAGTTACATAAGGAAAGGCATGGGTCCAAAGGGATCGAGTGGGCCAGTCTGTGCATCCTTCTTGATCCTCTGAAGGCGTACCCACATGGCGGGAGGTTAGACTCAGGATTCTGCAACATCCCCCAGGGCAACAGGGATGGCAGACCCTCCAACCACACCCAGAACACCAGCTTCTTCCTAGCCTGTCTCCTGTGAACTGGGGCACCAAAACATGATATTTCCCTGCCCGCACGTGTCCACAGGTATCCGGATGCTGGACCAGCCATTTATGACGGACATCATCGAGGCCTCCTCCATCAGCCACATGCCTCAGCTAATCGATATCTACAGTGCCAGCTGGGGCCCCACAGACAATGGGAAAACAGTGGATGGGCCCCGAGAGCTCACACTTCAGGCGATGGCTGACGGTGTGAACAAGGTAAAGTCGTTCCGGCCGCCACAAGACCCTGGTCCACTCACATGGGATGAGGGGTGGGGGAGACATGGGGGAGGGAGAGGAGGTGAGACAGTGGTACCGAGGGGCAGGGCAGGGGGCGGAAGGTGGGGCTGTTACCCTGTGCATTAGCTCAGGTCCTGTGAGAAATCCAAAAATGGGGTTAGCCATGCATATTTATTGCAGGGAACACCTGTGAAGGACAAAGGGGAGGGGGGCAGGAGGACGCAAGGGGGCGCTTTCAGAAGGTGATGCTGGCCTGGCCCCTGCGAAGGAGCAGGGAAGAAGGAGGGTCCCTCTGGGGGCCTGCACCAGCATCCCCACCGTGCCAGTCATCGGCTGGGAGCAGTCTCCAGGCAGTGGGGTCTCCACCGCAAACGAGTTTGTGGATCCAAGGGGCAGCAGCGGGAGCTGTGAATCCACAATGCTCCCATGGCAGGAGTCTGAGCCGAGCGTTTTCGTGGCTGCTCATCCCTGAGGTCAGCCTGGGAATGCACAGAATCCAGGAGAAGAGACCAAGGCAGAGCTTCCAAAGGAAGGGCTGCCGGGAGACAGGGTTCCTGCTGGTCTGCAGCCTGTGGGGCAGGAGTCGCCTCGCTGAGGTCTCAGGACAGGACTCGCCCCATGCAAGACATGCACCAGGCTAGGGATCTGAGTCTCCTGGGTTCAGGCTCCAGCTCTGCCGCTCGCTATCTGAGTGTCTTTCTACCCGTGACTTGCCCTGGCTGTGCCTCAGTTTTCCTGCTTGTAGAATGGTGATAACCGTACCTTCCTCCTAGGATCTTGTGAGTGTAAATGAGATAAATAAGTAAGTGCTTGGCACTGGGAAGTGCCCTGCAAAGGGTTGGTGCTTGTCTTGGTCATTATGGACTCTTAACCAATGGTCCCAAAACTTTGTGGCATAAAGCACAGTGTTTGATTAGGCTGTGGATTCTGTGGGTCAAGAACTCCCAAGGGCACAGTGGGGATGGCTCCTCTCTGCTCCACAATTCCTGGGCCTCAACTGGAAGACGCGTGACTTGAATTACCAAACTGCTGTGTCTTCACGTGCCCTTGCCATGTGCTGAATGACTTGCTATTGGTGCCACAACACCCACTACTTGCAGCACTTAGCCATTTGTCTTCTTTAGTCTGTTTTCAGGACTTGACTCGCTGACAGGCTGACAGCAATGCCCTCTCCACGCTTGCAGTTCGCTTGTCTAACCAGCCATGGCATGGGACTCACATCCCAAAGATGAGAACGATAGCGTGTGCAGTGAGAGTTGTCAGGCCCTAAGAAAGGGGGGCACAAGTGTGTGAGGTTTAGGATAGGGACTTCTGGAAGCCCATTTAAAAATTTTTTAAGTTTCGTGTCCTGAATTTTGACAAATTTCAAATAGATGAAATTGCTATAGCCATATTTGCATATACAAGCTAGGATAATTATAAATAAATTGTAAAATGCGTCTGTTCTACATACATGTTTAGATTATTTATAGTCTGTATGGAAAATACATAAACTCATTACCTATATATTTACGACACTGAAATAGAATATATGTATGAAATAACTGTATATTTAACAGTAGTCTAGAAAGGTAAAAATATTGAAGAAAATCAGAGAGGACAAGCGAAGCCTATTTTTTTTTTGAAGAGTTGCAATATACCAAACACTGTAGTTTAATATTTTTTTTTAACCACTATGCATTAGACCCCCAGAACTTATTTATCTTATAACTGGAAGTTTGTACCTTTGACCAGCATCTCCCCATTCTTTCCCCCTCCAGCCCCTGGTAACCACCATTCCACTCTCTGTTTCTGTGAGTTCAGTTTTTAGATTCCACATGTAAGTACTCCAGTGCTGTAGAGTCGTGTGTCACTTAGTGACAGGGATATGTTCTACGAAATACATCAGTAGGTGATTTTGTGGTTGTAAAAATATTATAGAGTGTGCCTTCACAAACCTAGGTGGTATAGCATATTGCACACCTAAGCTATATGGTACTAATCTTATGGGACCACCATGGTATATGTGGTCCATCGTTGACCCAAACGGCGTTCTGCAATGCATGACTGTTTGTCTTTCTCTGTCTGATCTATTTCACTTAGCGTAATGCCCTCAAGGTCCATTCATGTTGTCACAAATGGCAGGATTTTCTTCTTTTTGAATAATATTCCATTATATATATATACCACATCTTCTTTATCCATTCACGTGTCCTTGGACGCATAGGTTGTTTCCATGTCTTGGCTATCGTGAATGATGCTGTGAACATGGGGGTGCAGATATCTCTTTGAGACAGTGATTTCATTTCCTTTGGATATATACCCAGAAGTGGGATTGCTGGATCAAATTTTTGGAAGAATCTTCATACCATTTTCCATAGTGGCTGCCCCAATTTGCCTTCCCACCAACAGCACACAAGTGTTCCTCTTTCTCCACATCCTCGCCAGCATTTATTATCTCTTGTCTCTTTGATAATCGTGAAGGCTACTTTTTCTATACATTTCCTAGGTCAGAGAACACATGTGCTTTCTTCTCCAGCTATCCTCAGAAACTAGCCTAGGACTTGAAAACATGGTAATCAGCTATTCAATAAATAGCTGTGGAATTGATACATAAATGGAATTTGATGGTTAAAAGCTTAAGACCCACAGAGATATCTATGACTGTAGCGGACACCACTGGCACCCACCTTGATCCCCTTTGTCAGGCTGGGGCCACCGCCGGCTGCTATGACTGTTTGCTGCTGCTGACTCCCAGCTGCCCCTCCCCTGGAGAATTGCCCTGGTTGATGGGAGTCTTCTCATCCTGATGGTTATGCCCCGACTCGTACCCAGGGGCAGGCTTTCCCACCTGACTGACTCAGGGTAGGAAAAGCCAGCCTGCTTGCCTCCAGCAGAGACCACTCTGGGGTGTAATTTATGCTCCAGAGCCCCCAGTGAATCAGGCTAAGGCTAGACTTGACTCGAGACCACATTGTTTTGGGGTTCCTTCCACTGCTTATCGTGTTTCACTCCCTTGCTCACAGGTTTCTCCTGAGCGCTCCCCCAATAAATCTGATGTACCTGAAACCCTGCCTCAGGCTCTGCTTCTCGAAACCCACCCTGTGACCTTAGCTCATTAGGGTTCCCTTTTTCCTTTGACTGCCAGGAAGTTCAGAACTAAGTTTGTGCCTAACATGTACCTTTTTTTAAGGCTAGATTTTCTGCCACCCTACCCTTTGCTCCCCTCTCTTCACCAATCATGGCCTCCAAAATCTTTCCTTAGCTTTTATTCTCATATCGTTTTTTGTGTTTTTATTGCCTCTAAGCCTCCGAATACTAAACAGTGTAAAATTTGTGAAAGAATTGGTGAAATGAGCTTAATTTTATTAGAATCAATTTAGGTGTGAAAAATCTACCTTTGGATTCTCAAATTGTTGCTTGCTTACACACATTCCTAGTCTTAAGGGACTAAAGCATCTCATTGGACAAAAATCTACAGCAGCCGGGCTCTAAACAATCGTACACAGTAAGTCAGAGCAGGGGCCAGGCAGCCCAGTCCACAGGCCAAACCCAGCCCACCAGCTGTCTTTGCAAATAAAGTTTTATTGGAACACAGCCAGGCCCAGCAAGGCCTTTGTGTCTTTCAGTCACAATTTCTCTTCCAATCGCAGCTGTCACAGGCTCCACACACCAGGAAGCACACGGGGCTTTAAATGAATGGAATCATGAGTCAGTCACAGGCTTTTCTGCTGGTCTGTCCGCATCTCCGTTTTGACTGGACAGCCAACGTTACACGACAGGAAATCTGCTACTTCTGCTGAAGGGATGGTTTTTTTAAATGTGGCATGAACAAGTGGGGGACTGAGCTTAAAAGTTAGGAGATTATGGGGGCTGGCCCCGTGGCCGAGTGGTTAAGTTCGCGCGCTCCGCTGCAGGCGGCCCAGTGTTTCGTCAGTTCGAATCCTGGGCGCGGACATGGCACTGCTCATCAGACCACGCTGAGGCAGCGTCCCACATGCCACAACTAGAAGAACCCACAACGAAGAATACACAACTATGTACCGGGGGGCTTTGGGGAGAAAAAGGAAAAAATAAAAAAAATCTTTAAAAAAAAAAAAAAAAAAAGGAGATTAAGTTCTAGCCTCGCTCCTGTCCCTCATGGCCTGCGAGACTTCAGACTGGTCACTTAGCTTCTCCATTCCTCCCTTTCTTCTTCTGTTAAATAGTCTACATCAGTGCTTATCAAAGTGTGGCCACTAGCCCTCCTGGGAGTTTATGGGAAATGCAGAATTGCAGCCCCACCCACCCTCCTGACATGTCAGAATCTACATTTTAACAAGATCCCATTAAAGTTTGAGAGGTGCTGCTGTAAATGATCTCTAGAATACATATTATGAAACCCTAAGATACTAAGACCATAATATATGTGGGTTTAAAAAACCCACTGCATGAGGCACTGCATGTCCTCGTCAGGGTGGTGCATTGGATGGACTGATGACTGAGCCAGATGCTCTAGCTTGTCTCTGAGTTGCAGGAAATGAGATCCAGGGAGCCCAACTAAAGGGGTTTCTTGTTGTAAGGATGCACGAGGAGTGATGAGTGCAATGGGACGGATTCAGGCAGCACCTCATACAGATGGAGATCAGAGAGATGTTCTAGATTCAAGGTGGCTGCAGGACACCGGCCACAAGAGTATAGAGATCCACACTAGGGCCCTGCAGTCATGGGGCACAGCCACTCTCACCTTGACTGTTTCTCACTGGGTTTGTGTGTCTCTCTCTTCAACGCATTTTTCCTCCTCCTTGAGGCTAATGTTCATACAATACTTCTGCTTAGCCATGGCCCCATCAGCACCCTTGTTTGTCACAATCTGTCAGACTCTACTCCAATTGCCATCTGCTCCCTCTCCAATGCTTTAAGGGGAATTTTGGTCCAAAATTAGGGGAGACATCCCTCCCCCTGGTAGGCTTCAAAAATAAGAAATGTGCTTCTGTTGGAAAGGTTCAGAACTTGAAGTG